GAGCAAGATAAAAATCCTATATAAATAATCAAAACATTAGATGAGAAACTGACTACCTGGGTGTGCAGATTATTATTTTGACTGAATGTTAAAATATATCCATACTGTTTGACAATAGACAAAGTGTTAATGTTGATAATAGCAGTAAAGGATATCTAGAAAGGAAGAATCATAAGAGGAGAATGATAAAATGTTTCTCTTGTACTTCTCAAATTTATTCAAATTCTTTAAAAGAACAGGGATTTGAAGAATTATGGACAACTCAGACTTCAGGTCCATGGATATAGGACATTGATTGATATCTTGGCTGCAGAATGGAGTGCCTTAGGAGTCATATGGAAAGTAAAAATACTCAACTTGGATTTTTTGTAATTGCTTGTTTTATTTATTTAGTCCTTTTAAGTCGGTGTTGACTATTGGCGACTGCCCGGACAAGTCACAAAATCTTGACAAGATTTTCACAAATAGTTTGCCATTGCCTTCTTCCTATAGTTAAGAAAGAGTTAATGCAGATGGGCTCAAGGTCACTTAGATGGTTTGAGGGCTAAAGTAGGACTAGAACTTACAGATAGAATTCATTGCTTTCCAGCTTCTAGCCTACTATCTTAACCACTACACCCAATTGGCTCTCTAATTGCTTGTATTGTTATAGATTTTCTCTGGGTCAGGTTAACACCAGTGTTCCTGATTCTTTTCCTCATGCCACTCTCAACATGACTTTAAATATAAATAAAGTGATTACATCTTCTGCAGTGCAGATTTTGATCACAGGCACAAATTATTGTAGCTTCTTTTTAGTTCAGCCAGGAAAAAAGAAATTGCACGTTGCTTATTTAAGGTGATCAGAGGAGTTCAAATGGATGTCATTATTGCCATTCTTTTAATTGGCAATATTGCTTTTTAAGTAAGTGCACAAAGCTTACAGTAGAAAGCAAGTTAGCAGTTGAAGAAATATGGGCTTCAAAATCTTAGCTGGATGTGCATCCTAACAGGGAAAAAAAATCCAGTGGTTCTGTTTTCCCAATCTCAAGACAATTTTAATATATAACTTAAGATCGAACTGCAACCAGAGATTTATTCAAACGTCAAGCTATTTTTCCACCTGCTTTTTCAATAAAAGAAAAGAGAAAAGAAAAGAAAGCTTTTATTAAAATTTTTGCTATCTGTGATATTTCTTCATCCAAGAATGATGAAAGCCAGTTCATTTCTCAGTGTAAACAATGGCAAGTTCAAATTGAGATTCAGCTGCATTTTAAGTCAATCTGTGGAATGATTCTCACTGGGAAGGAAGGCGGCATAGGTTAATACCATTCATATAGCTTTTCTAAATTTAGTACCTTCAAATTGTGTTCAGCATCAACTTCTGTAACTCCAAGACAGTAGTGCTGGAGAATACTTTCAGAAGAAATTGTTTCAAGGGAAATTCTTCCTGAACAACTTTAAAGGAACTTGAGGGAAAGGAACATGCAGAAAGCAAAGTAGCCAACTTTTATTTTGCACCTGGACTTCTTTGTGTCATAAAATGTTAATAGAGTTCTAGTCCCACCTTAGCTATGAAAGCCAGCTGGGTGACCTTGGTCAGTCACTATCTCTCAGCCTCGCAAGGCTGTTCTGGAGAAAATAGAAGGAGGAAGGTGTGTTGGATATTGATGAAGACTTTTCCTTCAACAATTTAAACCAGGAATAAACAATATGGCGACTGCTTTAGAAAAAAGGTTGCAGTTTATTGGAGAGGAGAGCCAGATAGAAAGGTGGCTCTGGAAGAAAAGAGAGAGCACATGTAGGGAGTGGGTTTTTATATCCTCTGAAGTGTTTTGTTTGGAGTTGTTCCTGTGGCATGAACTTTGACCTGAGTCTGAATGTGCCCTTTGGCATCTTTGGGTTAATCCTATTATGACCTGTCCTAGAGTTTGGGTGGGGTATGTAGATTTTAGGTGTCTTTGTCTTCCTAAGCTTCTAGCTGGAGGGCTCCAACCTTCCTGAATGGATTATCACATCTGCATTTCTACAGAGCTGGTATCTACTTGGGGGAGGGAGACTTGGGGCTATTAAGAAAACTGGGCATGCTTTTCTGCCTCTTTAAGATCCTTTGAGGAAATATATTTTTCTGCCCTTTTAATATTTCCTTCTCTGGGGGGCTGACTTCCCACAATATGTTCGCTATCTTGAGTTATTTGTAAAATAATAAAGGCAAGATATAAATAAATAACAATTTTTGTTTATACAATAGAAGTTGAATTATGGGGATTATTTTTCCCCAGCCCCTTTCTAGAGAGAGCTTGCTTTGTCTTGTTATAATAGAGGTTTATACAGTAATCCCAATAGATTAATAATTATGTTTTTCATTACTAAGTAAAATTCTCTCTTCCCAAAATAGAACAGTCTAAGTATGTATACTTTTCATTCAAGATAAAAACAAGGCTGAAAAGAAGTGAAATCACATCTATAGATAGATTAAATAGTGGGGGTTTTGGTGCAAAGAGGAGTACTGTTATTTAAATGGAATAAGCAGACTATTGTTAAATGTGACTTTTATTTATCTGAAAATTTTCTCTGTCTTAAATATAATGCATCTCTGAATATTGATTTTGAGCATGGATGTTCTTTAAGGCATTGTACCTGCATGTTCTAATTTGCTATAAAATTACCTCACTATTTATAGCATGAGGCACTTCACATAATGGTGATGGTAAATCTGAAAGTCTCTGAAGGAGGTAAGATCCTCTAGCTGACTTTTTTTTTAATTCTGGGAGAAAATTATTTAAATTGCCCAGCATTTAGGGAAGAACAAGCCGACAGGAAATTCTGTAAAATAAGTAGGCAGGAATAAAAGAAAACCAGACTATGAAAGCTGTAAAAAAAATTGGAAAATGGAGCGAGAAAGAAAAAAAAAAAAGGTGAATATTAACAGGAACAATAAAAGTTTGGAAGGTTCAAGGTTTACATATTGATTTCAAATAATTATTTGACCGCAAATCATTATTTATATCAGATTTTTCAAAACTGCTGTTTGAGTTTTCTTATCAAAATGTCTAAATAGCTGGTATTTGCGGAGGATTTCTTTCTTCCCCCATCTTTCTATATATAGTAGGAATCCCTTCCCTTCCCTATGCCAACTTTCAACAAATTACTGTAATACATTTTTCAATTTTTAAAACTTCAATAAAAATAGGTGAAATATAACTGATAGTTCTTCTTTAAAAGATTAGAAAAATGATTAATTGTTGATTTTCCTCTGAATCAAATACTGCTCACAATAACAGCCCCATAACTAAGGATCAAAGGGCAAGCTAAAAAGAAAACAAACCACAACTCTACCTTTTTTATGTGTTCTTTTTTCCTTTTTTTTCTTTGACAGTGTATATACTTCCATCATTATTATCGTTACGTTTTGCTCATTTTCTTTCCCTTTTCTTGTTAATTAAAAAGCAATAAAAAAGAATCCACTGACTGGGAAAGTGTCCTATTTCAGCCGCTGTTAAGGACGGGACTTCATGAATTCATTTTGCCTCTGGAAGAAAAAAAGATTTTGTAGTTCAGAGCTGCTGCATATTCCACCCTAAGAATTTACATGAAATTCTGTGGCACCGTTTCAGAAATCAAAAAGGTTAGAAAATATTTTTTTTTCTCTCAATGTTTCATTTTTGTCTTGGCAATTGTTCCAAACTTCCCCATTCTCATATCCACATAAGACATTTAGCACTTGTTGGGTTTCTTCCTCCCCTTTCCTGCTAGAATGGTTGATACTTTGAGCTGATTTAATCTCAAATCGCCTTTCAGCTAATTGGTTCTTGCCATTGTTATGGTGCCAAGCCCTTTCCCCCCCCCCCATCCTCATCACAGTTTCAGGTTCTTTTTCTTCTGGCCATGCTCTTTCTGAAATACTCCATCAGGGTGACTGGAAGAAGGAAGAGCAAGGGGTAATACTTAGTCACAATGTCTATATTGCCCTGTCGTCAGTCAGTAAAACTCAAGCCATCACCACTCAGAATGGGGAAATGTTCATGGCTGGAGGATTGTTTCATGAAGTCATGACTTCTTATGTATGGCAATCTTTTCAGAAAGCTAAATCACAGCTAGCATGACATACAGAGATTTAAGATGCTGCTTGGCTTTTGCAACCTTATGGGACATGATCATTGATACAGGTAGCTCTGGAGAATCTAGAACAGTGGTTCTCAACCTGTGGGTCGGGACCCCATTTGGGGTCGATCGACCATTTCACGGGGGGCGCCAAGCAAGGCTGTCCGCCATTTTTTTTGTCCGCCATTTTTTCCCCCTTTTCCGGTGGGTGCCTTACCTCCCTTGGGCTGGGCCAGCTGGTGGTCGGCCTGCTCCGTCTCTGCCGCTTGCCAGCTACGCCTCGGCCAACGCAGGGGGCGGAACCACGCATGCACGGAGCTCCTGGGCAGGGAAAGTCCTCGACTTACGACCAGTTGGGTAGTCCTCGACTTACGACCGGTTTAGTCCTTGACTTACGATCGGTTTAGTCCTCGACTTATGACCAGTTTAGTCCTCGACTTACGACCAGTTGGGGGTCGCGGCATTAAAAAGGTTGAGAACCACTGCGCTAGAAAGAAACTTGATCTTGCCCCAAAGCAGAGTCACTATTAGGCAATTTCTTCTCTTCCAATACTATTTTAGGGATAAAGATTATCTTAAGTCATAAAGCTCATTCCATAGGGTGAAGATACATATGCATCTGTCATCCATCCATCCATGTGTCTCAGCAGGTAACAGCATATGGCTGATCTGGTCTTGGCTCAGAAGCTAAGCAGAGCCAGGTCTGATTAATGGTGTACTGGGATGAGAAATCCAAAAGGGATTGTGTGTACACGTGTGCAGGTATCTGTGTTTGATTATTTATGTGTATTACATATGTGTGATTGATATATTAACACTGTTTATTTTTCTAACCAGTTTTTTATTTCACCTTGTTTTTTTCGCAGGACATTCTTATGCAATAGGCTAAAAGTAATTTCAATGTGCAGGATGAAAAAATGGCACAGACACTGCTGGTACCATCAGGACCTGACAGTTTCCGCTTTTTTACTAGAGAATCTCTTGCAGCTATTGAAAAACGGTGCACAGAAGAAAAAGCGAAAAGGCCCAAACAAGAACATAGGGATAATGTTGATGAGAATGGGGCAAAACCAAATGGTGACTTGGAAGCAGGAAAAACACTTCCTTTTATATATGGCGATATTCCTCCTGGAATGGTGTCTGAACCATTGGAGGATCTGGACCCTTACTATAGCAATAAACAAGTGAGTTTTAATTAAGATTGGCTGGATTTTTTAATAATATTTGCTGAATTTTGCAAAGGTTTTGTGAATGCTTGATGTTCTTAGTGTGTATTAACTTAAGTTTATCTTTCTCAGTTCACACTCAGAAAAAATGTTGAAAACATTTCCAGCATGGCTTTATGGTACGGTTCATGGGCTTCCTGTTTTATATTTATGCAGAACTGGCTCTAGGGCTGGAAAAAAGATAAGCGAGATCTTGATTAAAAACCACTACAAAAATGAGTAAAATAACTATAAACAACAACTATACAAAATTTAAAGCAAAGTACAATTATCTAAGTAGAAGTTATGGTTGGGGTGTGTGTGAAAGAAAGTAGCACACTATAGAACTCTTTTTAGATAATACATATATATTTAATTACACTATATCATCTTGCATATCTGTTCTTGATCTCCTTTTGTTCAGTACCTTTTGCAATAATAAAATCTTTTTTAAAAACAAAAGGAGATGGCAATAGCTATACAGTCAACTAAGAATACCGACTCACAATATAATAAAACTCATTGACTTTAAGTGGGACCCATAGAACGAATAGACCTGTCCTAGAAGATTGCTGTTACCACTGATAAAACTGAATATCACTATTTCTCATTGCCAGAATTCAGATCCTAGAGAGAGGCAGAATCTGAAAGAAAGAAATGAAGAGAAAAGCTAGAGAATGGGAAGGAAACCTGAAAGAGAAAGACAGAGATTTCAGACATGAGACTAAACCATGTCTGTGAGGTCTTGGTGCTCTCTGAGCTTGGTTGTTTTCTTGCAGATGTTTCATTACCCAACTAGGTAACATCATCAGTGCTAGAAGGGAGTGGGTTTGCTCTCTGTTTACATACAAGTGGCTTGCCCTAAATTAGATCTGTTTGCTTTGTAATAACTAAACTCATCTTTGGATATGTGTTTCACAAGTTCACCATAGTTGCTGTCCCTCCCGCTAGGGGAGGAGCAGTCAATATGGTAGACATTTAGCTGTTTGGTACAAGATGGAGTGTCCTTTAAAGTTAATACTAAGAAACATCATTACCCATGGTGCCTGGCAGATATTCCTTAGCTAAGAGCGTACATTACTTCTCAGCTGTAGAGTCTACTACTATGCAGAGTTCCCAGTGACTCAGCCTCCTCCCACAAGGATAGCCATTCTGAGTCAGCCTCTGGAAGTTGGTGGGATATGACATTTGAATGGACATTATTATATCACTATAGCCTATTTTTCTTACATAGATACAATTATGTGTTACCTTACAAGTTTGTAGTTGTGGGTTACAAACCACACTTCAGTTTTCCTTGTATGCTGCACCATGTTTCAGGTCAAACTTCTCCATTCTGGTGCTCTCCAGATCTGCAAATACCAGAATTTCTAGTCAGCATTTGTACAATGATGTATTGGGCATGTCTGTTCCAGTTCTTAGATTTTCTTGCTCATACACAGTAATAAAAAAGATATTATTTACTGAATATGAGAATATTTACCTATGCTTTTGAATTCATTAAAGTGTGGTATTATTGTGCCGATGAAAAAAGCATGGACTTTATTTGATTCTGATAATTTTTATTTACGTGTTAAAAATTTATATGCTGCCCCGTAAAAAATTAATTTGTTTTTCAATGTTACAAAACGTTACACACAAATGGACAATAAAATTAGCAGTGATAGTAATTGTAGGTATTGTGATAACAGCAACAACAACAAAACCCAACAACTTAATTTATTTTATTTGAATCCGGGTGCTAAATATACAGTGCTATATTTTCTTCAAAGGTCAATACAGTATCAAGATTTAGGAAGCGTACCATTTATGTATTCTTCATAAGAACATTCTAATTGAGCCATTATTTGTTTTTTTTCCCCTCAGACCTTCATTGTGTTGAATAGAGGGAAGGCAATTTTCCGATTCAGTGCCACATCTGCCTTGTACATTTTAACCCCTTTCAATCCTCTCAGAAAAATTGCTATTAAAATTTTGGTACATTCATATCCTTTTCAATGTCACAAACGAAAGTTGAATTGTTTTTCCAATATTATTTTGAAATTTAATTACTATCTTTACCGCTACAGTCAGAAAGAAATGTCTCTTGATGATAAAGGATGTTTTGAACAGTAGTATTAGAATAAACTGGTTTAAAGCTCTTGGTCAAATATTTTCTCTCTCTCTCTCAGGATATTTAGATTACAAATCTAAATGTTTGGCATAACGTAAAAGCTTAATAGTAGTATTTTTTCCATTAATTGTACTAATGCATTCTAAATTTGTTCATGCCATTAAAAGGAAAGGATACTGTTGGAATAATTATGTATCTCAGGAGACATGAAATGTATCATCTGCACCAGGTGGCATAAGGAGCATAACATGGTCACAAAAGGGAAGGTGGGGTGGGTGGATGGGGGATGAAGAAGGATGCATGTTTTGAGGGGAATGAGGAAAGAAATCAGTATTTGGATTCTTCTTGTTAATGGGTATCTTATCCTTTTAGCTGTGCTGAGAATAATTAGTTAGGGGAATAACTTTTATTCAGAAAGTTAAATAAAGTGATGAAATTGTAATTAGAAAAAATGGCCTCAGCAATTTGATGCTAAATTGACATCGTTTAGAATGTAGTAGAGACATTAATGCTTGGTGAATAAAATATCACAAATACAACTGAGATATCAGTACAACAAATGTATGGCTGGTTTGTATAATCTAGCTCTCCAGTACAACAAAAATACTTAGTTATGGGCAACAGATTGTGCTGCCCTATAGAGACTCCTCGTTATTATTGGCTGATATGTAACGACATGATCTGTGACAACCTGCCTATGATAGTTCTCTTAATACAAACCATAGTTTTAAATGTGCCATGTTTTCATCTATTTTTGCTGCAGCAGTTTAACGTGTTTACTCGGCTTAGATTTCACCTACTATCCAGTTTCTTTGTGGGATTCACCTTGTTTCAGAAAAATAAGGATGGCTCTGTCGTTAAGTTTGTTCGGTGATATGGCAAATAATAAAAGGCCCAAAGTTCCTTAACTTGGTTTTACATTATTCAGCATGCTTATTATGTGCACTATTTTGACCAACTGTGTATTTATGACCATGAGTAATCCTCCAGAATGGACAAAGAATGTAGAGTAAGTCAAACTCTTTTTAAACATATGTAAGTTATCTTTGTTTTTATGCATTTTCAATTGCAGATTTTAATGAGCAGCCTCAATAGCTGAACTGTGTTTCCTTCTGCTCCTTTATTTTAAATTTGTTTGTAAATGAAGTCATAGCAATAGCACTTAGACTTTTTTAGTCTAATTTTATATTTATATTTAAATTTAATTTAAATTTAATTATAATCTAATTAGATTATAAATAAAGTTATAAATGTGTGACTTTGGATTTATATCCTTCCTTGGAACTCCAAATGGCAGACTTGGGTTTCCTCAAAAAATGTGCATCAAGGTACAATACTGACTAGACCAGGGGTCTTCAAACTTGGCCCTTTTATGACTTGTGGACTTCAACTCCTAGAATTCCTCAACCAGGCATGCTGGCTGAGGAATTCTGGGAGCTGAAGTCCACAAGTCATAAAAGGGCCAAGTTTGAAGACCCCTGGACTAGATTGAGGATAAGGATGACCTTCAGACAATTAGAAACCATACTAAGGGTTTACAAAGCAGAACAAGAATCAGGGAATGGACAATTGATATTACTTTAAGACTTTCATTCCACCTGCAGTTGCAGTGCATCCCATATACATATTTGCTTTTACATTGGAGTAAAAAAAATGTAACAAATAGATTTACTGTCCCAGGTGCCTATTCAACAAAACAATTTTTAAAAAGCTGTTTCCAAAGAGCTTAGAGCTGCAGATTATTTTTAAGAGACCATATAGTGGTTTGTTAATTCCATGAATGGCATCAGTCCTAGTTAGATCCTCAGACCGGATTAGTTTCCACAAACTTCCACAAACCTTTTATTTGCTGATGTCGTGGTAGCGATTCCTCCTTCCCTTATTGCTTGTTTGCATTTGCATTTCTTTTTTCTCGATCTCCCTTTCCTTTGGACATCTTCCTTGTAGTAGTTAACCATTTTGTTTTGTTTGGGTCACATCATTTCCACTACTTCTTCGGGCAGTTCGAATGATGCCTTGATGCTCATTGTGGCCCATCTTTTTTAAAAGCTGAATAATCATGCTTCTCTTTTTGTGCTCATGATCCCTGTATATTCAGCAGAATGTATGCATTGCTGCACATATTCAAAAACAGCTTAAGAAGAGAAGAGAAAAGGAGTTTGTAGAATCAGAGTGAAAAAAGAAAAAAACCAAATTAGTAACAATGAATTTTGTAGCAGAGGTCTGCAAAATGACCCATACTTTCTTCAGAACTTCGGCCAACTTGCTAAAGTAAAGTATACCCTCTTTTTTTAGATTCTTCATTTCAGCCCCCTTTTTGGAGTCTCCTGAAAGTGCCACGATCAAACATTCATTATTTTAAAGTTTATTATTTCTTTCCAATCCTGAAACAGAAACAAAAGCAAAACTGTACCAAATCCCATGCTTCCGGAATGTTCCGGGGCTGAAGTCATTGCTTTTCTGCAACAGTGCCAGTATGAAAATCAGGCTGGCTCCCTCTGGGTTGATTTTTCACAAGTTTGTAAAGAGTACTTTTTTTTAGAGAACCTTTCTCTAATTTGATTCTTGTTGGATCTTTTATCCGATTTCTATTTTTGTAGTATTGATGTATTTTTACTTTTTACGTAGGATTGTTTTATATTGTACTTTTTATGTAAGTCGCTGAGAATTGTTTTTGACTGGGGTGGCATGCACATATGTTTCATAAATAAATTATTTATGCAAACCTGAGGTTCCCCCACTCCCCAGACACCAGTTCTTGGATGTGGGTGTTGCTCATAAAAATGGACATTCGGAAAATGAGCTATTTATATAAGAATAGCAAGAAAGTTGATCTTCTGATACATGAAACATATTTGCTTGCTTATGTAAGGCAGGTTCACTAGTAAAGGGAGTCTGGATTTTTAAAATGTTTTTGTTAGAAACAAGAAGTGAAATTGATAATGTATTTGCATATCCAATTTTCTACTAGAATACAGGCTGAGAGGCTGATTTATGTATTTATCAACTTTAGCTGTGATCTCAGTGGATCATGGACACAGTCATCCAATGTGTCTTAAATTAGTGTTGCTAGGTCAAAATAAAATACAAAAATAAATGAATAGTGTGTGTTACCTTCATCTGATCTCACTGGATTTATACCATTGAACATTTGGGGAAAGTTAATATTTCTAAAGTTTTATTTGTTGTTATGTATTAAATCTGTGGGCAAATTAAGTAGTGTATGGAATTCAACGTTCTTCAACCTTCATCTGCATGCTTCCAGGTACACATTCACTGGAATTTATACCTTTGAATCACTTACAAAAATCCTTGCAAGGGGCTTTTGTTTAGAAGGATTTACTTTTCTTCGAGATCCCTGGAACTGGCTTGACTTCAGTGTCATTTTGATGGCGTAAGTACCATACTTATTTTAAAAACTTTACAATGGACTTGAAATTGGTGCAAGAGTTTATCTTATTAAGAGGCATATATTCACTGGAATAAACAACATTCTGCCAATAGCGAAGTTTGCATTTCAATAAACATGCAAATGGTTACATATTTCATGTGGCCCGCAAAGCCATCCTGGAAACAGTGAGGGAACGGCCCCCTCTGCCTTGGCCCTAGCCCAGGCCAGCCGGGAGCCAATGCACAATTTTGTGATGGCCATTTTGGCACTTGCCCTGGTGGACCATGCCTTGGCACTTGCCCCAGTCCCACCCCCTTCTGCCAGAGACCCTCAGATCTGTCCCACTCCTGCCTAGGCTCCCATAGGCACTCTTGATGCGAATGATGTAGAACTTGCCACGCCCACCCAGTAGGCCACACCCACTCCATCCACGCCCACCCAGTAGGCTGCACCCACTCTGGCCAGACCCCCCTGGCCCCCCCAGGGCAACCGCAATGCTGATGCGGCCCTCAGTGAAATTGAGTTTGACACCCCTGATTTAATAGGATGAGTTAGGACTTCAACACTCATAGATTCCAGCCTGCATGGCTAAAGACTGAAGGGCATTAAATAGGGGGATTTTACTGGTGGGCATAGGACTTCAAAAGGACAAATTATCTAAATGGCCTTCATGAAAAAACACCGAGTAATTAGACTAAGCTCTGCCTCAATTCTGAATAACTGTGGTTTAATTCTACAGGTATGTAACAGAATTTGTAAACCTAGGCAATGTTTCAGCTCTTCGAACTTTCAGAGTATTGAGAGCTTTGAAAACTATTTCTGTAATCCCAGGTAAGGAGTGGTTTGATGAAGGGCCAGACCCCTGGTATTTTCAGCTGTTTTTTGTGTGTTGTCATTGTGTTTGTGTGTGAACTCCCCTATTACAGATATGTGACAGAGTTTGTGGACCTGGGCAATGTCTCAGCGTTGAGAACATTCAGAGTTCTCCGGGCATTGAAAACAATATCAGTCATTCCAGGTGAGAGCTAGGTTAAAACCAGAGGCTGACTTCTTAATTTCATGGAAGCCACCCGCTTTTTCGTAGATAAGTCTTGCTGATTGCTGCTAATGTTACTAAAAGGCAGGAATCGGAAGATCTTTGTCTTTTCAAATGTAACATTTATTTTGATTTGCAAAGTCAGCCTTTGAGTTTTAAAAACAATTGCATGTGACACCTACAAAATGCACAGCTTACATGTTTTATTTTGGTTCTGGGTTTGCTTTATGTTGATGCTGCTGCATTATAGATGACATTTTTTTTCTTGTATAATGGAAAGCTTTAATTAATACTATAGCTCCTGTATTGCCATATTTTTTTTATATTGTTTCAATGTGTCATCTTAAACACATTTAGAAGACTGTCCAAAAACATGGTGAGATTTATTCCAGACAGAACATAAAAGAACAAGATCCCACTGCATGTTCAGATTTGAATAAAGATGTTACAGAAGTTTTTCAAAATTAATGGTTGAAATAGGATTTTGACATATATTGGGTATTCAGTTCCCAGAATTTTTAGCCAGCATGCTGCCCCAGAAATTCCAGGAATTTCTATCCCAATATGTCAAGACATATCAATGAACTGAAGAAACTTCCCAAAAAAATGTGAGATAATTTTTTAAAATAAAAATAAATGATAAATAGAGAAGTATACTCATTGAATATATTATGCCTGATCTTAGCCAAAAGGCCAAGAAGAGGCTATTCATTAAATGCCAAGGTAGTCATGGCCTAGGATCTCATCTCTCTGCTTTCACTTTTTTTGGAGAATAATTAAAAAAATGGATTACCTTAAATGAATATGCCATTTTTTAAAGAAAAAAGGGAAGCAGTACATCTCATTTTGTACTATAGAAGATTTTTCTTCATACATTTTTCACAAGTGCTAGTGCTGTCCATAAAGCTTTACTGTTTCACAAACGGGACATGGCTTTTGCTGCATGGCATCTTAAATAGAATGGAAGAATGTTTGACACACTCTGATCAGCATTTTTGGTCCCTTTCTGCCTGCAGGCCTGAAGACAATTGTAGGGGCCCTCATTCAATCTGTGAAGAAGCTCTCAGATGTCATGATCCTCACCGTGTTCTGTCTGAGTGTATTTGCACTAATAGGGCTCCAACTTTTCATGGGGAACCTGAGGCACAAATGCTTGCTGTGGCCATTGGACAATTCTACTTTTGAAGGAAATATCACTTCCCACTTCAATAGTACAGAGGGAGAAAATGATACCTATGTAAATATGACAGTGACCACTTTTAACTGGAAGGAGTACATTGAGGATGAAAGTAAGAATGCTTTAATATAATTGGTAGATAGAGGGGGAAAAAATATAATCATGTATATTATCAGATGTGCCCAGCAGGGATTCTTCTACTATAAAAAGTCTCAGGAAACAGCAAAATTGTTTAAAAAAATCACCTCCTTTCTTTTCCATTGATCTTAGCATATTGATATCATTTCACATAATTTCATGCAAATAACCAAAAAAACTAGTATTTTAAAAACTCTTAATGTTCGGTTGTGAATACAAATCACAATGAAGTGATAATGGCGAAATTATGTCATGATGTCATGACCCATGTTATTTGCCCCCTCCTTGACTCTCTGTAGAGTCTCTCTGGAATTTAACATGGATTTAAAAAATAAATACTTAACTTTTATGGATTTAATAAAATAATCTCTAACAAGCTAAAATAATAAATTAGGGATATAATGGTAATTGGTATAGACCTCTGTTTGTTTATCCAGGTGTGACTCTTACTGAATTCCCTCCCATTAATAAGGCTAAATGTTCATTTTGTGTGTTTGCTACAATACACACACAGTCCTTACAAAATTAATGGGCATCAATTGTCATTGAAAGAAGCATTCACCCTTCTTGTCTATGGAGATTCTCAATAATTCAGGTCATGGTTGTTCCAGAAGTTCCTTTTCCAAAAGGCAACTGGACTTTCTTGGATTTTTTTCTATGAAAACATTTCACTTTTCACCCAAGAAGCTTCTGCAGTTCTAACTGTCTGGAGGGGAATGGAAGGATTTCTATCTTTGCAGTTATCTGGTCATTAGCATTCAGAGGGTCATTTGTTATCTCTCTGAAAGTTGTTGAGCCCATGATTGAAAATCCTCCTTGAAAAGATCCAACAGGAGCTCCTTCATAACAAAGAAGAAAACATCAAACGGAGCAATGTTGTCATTTCATACATTGCAGGAATATCTGAAAACTCAGGAGGATTTTCAACCAACACAACATATGTGCCCACTTTAAACCCAGGAATACTTTAAGGCAGATGCTTGTCCATTCCAAAGACAAAACACTCAGACACAAACTGAGTAATGTAGTATATGCAGTGCAATGCAGTGAGACGTGTACAGACCTGCACATTGGGGAAACAAAACAACCACTTCACAAATGCATGGCACAACATAGGAGAACAAACTCATCAGGACAAGATTCAGTGGTCCATCTGTATTTGAAAGACAAAGATCACTCTTTTACAGACAGCAAAGTCCACATTCTGGAGAGAGAAGACCTCTGGTTTGAAAGTAAGATCAAAGAGGCCATCTACATAAAGATTGAACAGCCCTCTCTCAACAGAGGGGGAGGGATATGACACCACCTATCTTCTGTTTACATAGCACTTTCAACGGTCCCAAGAAGGCTCCATAGCCATTTACATTCTAATTCAGGTGAACCTGAGGGCACAGATAAATCCCTCAAATGACCAGTGACTCTCAGAGAACTAACAACCAGATGAGCTTCAAAGAATATAAATCCTTCCATTTTCCTCCTGTCAGTGAGAACTGAAGAAGCTTTTTAGATGAGAAGCAAAATGTTTTCAAAGAAAAAATCAAGTTCACTTGCCTTTTGGAAAAAAGCTCCTTGGGGATTCACCTTTATCACATACCGGTACTCAGGATCCCAAGATCTTTCCTGAATTCAGTGAGGCAAACTCCTAGAAATTGGGCATGGGACTATAATTTAAGATTTTTTTAATACATATGACAATACAAATTTATATATTTGAATCAATTAGTAGAATGTTTCTAACAATGACCATCTAAACATATGGAAGAGAAACTCGTATTTACTTTTAAAATAAAGTAAAGTTTTGCACTGATATATTTTATTTGTTCTAATTTATTTGCTGCTTAATTCAACAAAGCTCCAAGAGGCTTACAAAATAATTCAGTAAAACAATAATAAAAATGATTGAAAAAAGTAATAGCATTTTGAGTAATAATCCATAACTTCCATAAAAGAAGGTTTTCCTCATCACACATTTATAATTAATTATAGTATTTTCATACTTCTGATGTTTATGGATCTATACTTAATGTCTGCAAACAAAAATAGTACTGTAATTGTTTTTTCTTTTTCTCAATCAGGTCATTTTTATGTTTTGGAAGGACAAAGAGATGCACTTCTTTGTGGTAATAGCTCAGATGCTGGGTAAGAATATTTAATAATCCTCTGTATTCCATACTGTTGTATTGAAGTTAGAAAACATTTAACCTCACATGATCCAGGATCTGCAGGAGCTACTTGTGAGAAGAAGGAAGTCTTATGAGCATAAGAGATGATTGTGCATATTAGAATAATCATTCTAATGTAATGTAATTACCTAAGATAATGCTAGCAGAAATTAGCCCATTCCTAGTTATGCACTGGTAATGGTTTTATCTAAATATAAGTGCCCACTTTTATCTATTATTTAAAACAAAATGTAATAATAATAGTAGTAGTAGTAGTAGTAGTAGTAGTAGTAGTAGTAGTAGTAGTAGTAGTAGTAGTAGCAGTAGCAGTAGCAGTAGTAAAGTTGGAAGGGACCTTGGAGGTCATCTAGTCCAACCCCCTGCTCAGATAGGAAACCCTATACCATTTCAGACAAATGGCTGTCCAGTCTCTTCTTAAAAACTTCCAGTGTTGGAGTATTCACCGCTTCTGGAGGCAGGTTGTTCCACTGGTTAATTGTTCTAACTGTTTCTAAAGTATTTTGATAATCAGTGGATTAATTTTTGAAATGTATTTTAAAATTTTAACAAATTGTGAGCATATCAAAATTTCTCTAAATAGATTGCCAAGCTATTTATCAAGCCGTTGGTCTGCCAGAATTATTTAAAATAGAAGCAGAAAAATTCAGTGATCCCTTTTACATTATTCTTGTATTAAAAACATGAAACAGAATAAGGCAAGAACTTTTTTAAAAATCAGTAGAAGGACAAAAATATGTACAGCCAGTATCTATCTTTCTTAAACAATTGCCAAGCTAATTTTTGCATGCCGAGGAATTCAAGCCAATGGTTAGTTGATTCAGTGTAGTGGTGATGGGGAATATCATCTCTTGCAACATTATGTTTGGGATAAGAAAATCATCCTTATCTTGCATTATTATCTATTATCCTATATTTTATCAAATTGTTCCTGGCAACTTTGTTCACTTTCCCATGTTCTTCTTTTGCCTTTCCAAAATAAGTTGAGGGACATTGCACAAAAAACTACACCAAAAGAAACTAGACATTTGGGGAAATTGGGGACTTCCTTGTTCTGTAATATTCATTTACATCTGTTTTCTATAAATCCAACACATGTGGAACATTATTTTTAAAATATATGTATTTGAATTTTGTTTTTGTACTTTTATTAATTAACCGAAACTTTTGATTATGGCTGGGAAACCTCTGCCTATTCAAAAATGTTTTCACAAGTTCTTTGCCCCTGCCAAATACAATTAAAGAAAAATTATGTTTGCAAATGCCATTTTAGAGATACACGTGATGCTTAATACATTTAGAATGACAAAAGTAAATGATATGGGATGATATCAATAATAAGCAAGAAAAGCATCGAAAGCAATCACTCATTGAATTTATTTCCACCTATTTAGCATTGCACAGTGCCCTTGCTATACAATGACATATTTTGTCAAAAATTAGTGTACAAATATAGTAGCATGATAAAGTGCTAAAGTAGGCATGGGTTGCCAACAAGTATGATCATTATATGAGTATTTAGCTTTGCTACTCTTCCTGAATATCTCATAGTTTACTCTAAATATGTAGCTGTTGCTGACCAGGAATTCTAGTACTGTGAAGGCTACTTATTATTATTATTCTTTTCACCATAATCTTTATCACCAGGTAAAGACTAATTTCAGATAGCTTTGAAATTAAGAACTAATGTATTTTTCAGATCAAGCAAATACCCTGCTTCAATATTAGAGATTTTGGCCACTGCATCAGGTGCCTTTGTATGCTTTACAAAACATATATAATGCAAAATCTCTTTTTGTAATACATACACTAAGACAACTGTGTTTGAAATTAATGAGCTCCCAAAGGTGCTTTTTCACAAGGCAACTGGACTTTCTTGTTTTTCTTTGAAGACGTTTAGCTTCTCATCAAAGAAGCTTCTTCAGCTCTGACTGGATGGTAGGGAATGGAAGGATTTATATTCCTTGCAGACAGCTGGTCATTTGCATTCTTTTAGAGAGTCATTGAGGCCACCTGGAGGTTTATCTGTGTCCTCAGGGTCACCTGAGTAGTGCAAATGGGTGTGTGGTGCCTTCTTGGAACTGCTGAAAAGGGTAGAGTCTGTCAAATGAAGGCAAATATACATGTCCCAAGATAACATTGCAGGATCCAATCTGGGTCTATCACTGGGACCAGAGATTTAGTTTTCCGAGCTTTCAGACTTGTGCTGGAGCCCATCCTCGGTCTGTGGGGGTCTGTGTTCTTGAAGACCAATCATGGCATCTTCTGGCAAACAGCCCCCCTGGTATCTCAGCATGAAAGAGTGTTAGTTATTTAGGACTAAAATGTTCATTGATCTCAGTGAGATTTAAAGTGCAGCTGAACCCAGTCTAGTGCATTCATGCACAATCAGGAACATAACGGAAAATAAATGGTTCAGATTAGAATGAAAATGTCACTCTGAAAATATTTTGAAAGTGCAAATAACAAGAATACTCGATGCAATTCTTTTTCATAGCCATTGCCCAGAAGGATATGTGTGTATAAAAGCTGGTAGAAACCCCAACTACGGCTACACAAGCTTTGACACCTTCAGCTGGGCCTTCTTATCACTCTTTCGGCTGATGACTCAGGACTTCTGGGAAAATCTTTACCAACTGGTGAGAACAGTCATGAGGCAAGGTTAATATGTATGATATTGGAACAAAAACATCAGTCTTGCTGCTGATTTATTTTAATGTAACTAACTTTTCAACAAAGAATTGCTACTTATTATGCCTGTTTGGTATGTCGCTGTAGTTTCATGATTGCAATCATAAAGTAATAGTGATTTTCAATAACTAAAACTGATTTTTTTTTAAATTACGTAGATGAGTTCTTTTTTTGTGTTTGTTTTTCTTTCTTCAACTCACTTTCCCAGACTCTGCGTGCTGCTGGCAAAACATACATGATCTTTTTTGTCCTGGTGATTTTCTTGGGTTCTTTCTACCTGATCAACTTGATCCTGGCTGTTGTTGCCATGGCCTACGAAGAGCAGAATCAAGCCACCATGGAAGAAGCTGAGCGGAAAGAGGCAGAATTCCAGCAGATGCTGGAACAGCTGAAAAAACAGCAAGAAGAGGCTCAGGTAGCTTGGTTTTAGAAGATGTCATTTTGAAACTGCTGAAATGCAGGGGATGCATTAAATGCATCTTCCCAGATTTTTATCCAAGTGTGTCCCAATTGATAATGCACAAAATATAGGATGCATATCAGAATGGGGTGTTGCTGGCTACCAGAGCCTGGAAGAGATGGAGCCACACTGATTTCATATTCTCCCTCTTCTTTTGTCATGTGAGTTGTTTATATTAGACCTTTTATTTCCAGACTTTCTGAGCAGATGAAATCAATCATCTTTTATTAGCAATAAGAAGTGTCTTTGCCATCCATTCAGGAGTATAGGGCCAACCCAGTGACATAATACCTCATCTCTGCATTCTCATGCTTTTGCCATTATGCACTATCAGGAATATGCTAAACAATACTGCCTGAAGCTGGAAAAAGATGGGACCCGTACCAATGGATAATGACAGTGTCGGAATACAAGGGGAGGATCATCTTGGTCATCTTGTAGATTGTTGAATCTATACTTCCATCCATTTGGAATCCCTCTTTATGACTTCCCACTTGAGATTAAAACAGTGCCTCCTATTTTTGCTGAACTGATTTTGTAACATTATCCAAGAAATGCCCAAGGCAGTCTATTCTAACAATTAAATTGTTTGGTTAGAGCACAAGCATTTATTTATTTAAAAAAAATAAGTCCTAATTTTGTGATCAATCAGTAGTTCTATTTAGGCATTTGCATGATAATTTTGAACAACGTAAAAAGTGGGAATATTTCCTCGCACTACTCCCATGTCCTACTCATCCCATCCTTGGTTTTTCCAGCTTCACACACTCAACTAAGATCATTAAAGAATACTGAATTCATATATGCTTGATTGTGAGTTCAGTTCTGAGTAATCTGCCACCAGGCTTCCAGGTAATAGGTGGAGGTCTACTTGCATTCGTGCAAAAAGGAGTACTTTTCTTCTCACTTCCCAACTGAATGTGTGGAGGTTGGAGAGAGCTTGTCTTGGATTGGGCAGGAGGTTAATACAACAAATACACACAGTTTCATCATCTACATTGCCTGAAGTCCTTAATGACACAGTTGAGCAGGGAACTTGCTTGTAGGGAATAGGGCAGAATTGTATTCTGTGTACTCTCTATAGCAGACATGTCAAACACAAGGCCCGGGGGCCGGATGCGGCCCGCGAAGTGGTTTCATGTGGCCCGCGAAGCCATCCTGGAAACAGTGAGGGAACGGTCCCCGCTGCCTTGGCCCTGGCCCAGGCCAGCTGGGAGCCAATGTACAATTTTGTGGTGGCTATCTATGCTGAAACGCATTCAGTCTTAGCTCCATAAGCCCCCTCACCCCCCGCATGGCCTGAGAGGAACAGTGAGGCTCCTCCAGTAGACCATGCCTTAGCACTTGCCCCGGTTCCACCCCCTTCTGCCAGAGACCCTCAGATCTATCCCACTCCTGCCCAGGCCCCCACAGGCACCCTTGACGCAAATGATGTAGAGCTGGCCATGCCCACCCAGTAGGCCACACCCACTCCATTCATGCCCACCCAGTAGGCTGCACCCACCCTGGCCACACCCACCCGGCCCCCTGAGGGCAACCGCAATGCTGATGCGGCCCTCAATGAAATTGAGTTTGACACCCCTGCTCTATAGCTAAGGGAAGGTAACAGTGGGCTTTTTGTTGATACAGTTTTCATATGTGATTGGAATCCCCAACATGACTGGAGTTCATATTCATGTACACATTGGCTACTCTCACCTTCCGCTGCCTGATATGTGGAAAGCAGTTGAGATAAACACAATGTTGGCATTCAAGAAAATGTAAAAATAATGCAGTAGGTGAAAATAGTTTACCTTGGCATGTGTGAAGCTTTTAAAACACAGTAGAAACAGTAGTTACAAACTTTGACATTAGCTGATTTTTGAACAGCTGGTGGAATTGTCTGCTGTATTACAAAAAAAAAACCTTATGCAGATGTTTCAAGAGGTGATTGTGGGTTAGCAGCCTCTCTGAACAAGCTAATTTATGCAGAGAGAGCAATTAGTCCATTTAGCTCAGCATTATTGACAATAAGCTCTCCAGGATTTCAAGCACAGGAAAGGCACAGGATCGAACTTGTCACACAGAGCAGATGCTCTGCCAGCCAAGTGTTGACTTTTTAGTCAAAATTTAGATTCTGGAGCAGAGGTCCTAAGTAAAAAACAAGCAAACAAACCACTTCCTTAATACAGCCATAATAATAATAATAATAATAATAATAATAATAATAATAATAATAATAATAATAATAATAATAATAATAATAATAATAATAATAA